TGTGTGTGTGTGTGTGTGTGTGTGTGTGTGTGTGTGTGTGTGTGTGTGTGTGTGTGTGTGTGTGTGTGTGTGTGTGTGTGTGTGTGTGTGTGTGTGTGTGTGTGTGTGTGTGTGTGTGTGTGTGTGTGTGAGTGTGTGTGTGTGTGTGTGTGTGTGTGTGTGTGTGTGAGTGTATGTGTGTATGTGTGTATGTGTGTATGTGTGTATGTGTGTATGTGTGTATGTGTGTATGTGTGTGTGCGTGTGTGTGTGTGTGTGTGTGTGTGTGTGTGTGTGTGTGTGTGTGTGTGTGTGTGTGTATGTGTGTGTGTGTGTGTGTTTTGGTGCTTTGGTGCCTCGGCAGCCTGGGGCGTCTACACCTCGCCAGGCCCGTGCGCTGGGCTCTCGAGCGAAGGTCATCGCCTGCCGAGCCTGTGCGGAGCCGAGCCGCGGGCAGCGCCCCCGCCGAACTCCCCAGGGTGCAGAGCGAAAGGGCCCCCTCGAGGCCGCGCCCCACCCTAGGCCCCTCAGCCTGGTGCCAAGGGGGGCTGAAAAGCGAGAACACGCGCCGTGCCCAGGCCCCGCCAACGGCGAATGCGGGCCCAGGCACCCCGAGGGACCGCCCCCTCAGGCCCCTCAGCCACGGCGGACACCGCGCCAAGGGGGGCATTGTCTCTACCGCTGGGGCCCTCTCAGAGGCGGAACCCGCACCCCGACGACGGGCAGAGGCGCAACGGCCATCCCAGCAATCCGCGAGGCCATCCACGCAGCTGGCACTCTTGCTGCTGACCCCATCCAGGCCTCAGCCCTCAGTTTTGACCGTCACCGCCGCTGGGACGCCCGCTGCAGGACCTCGCACTGCCGCTGGAAGGTGGCCATCTTGTTGTCGAAGGCGGCCTCGGCCAGACGGAGCCGATCCACGGCGGCCCGAAGGCGCACCTTGGCCTCGTCGACGGCGCCCGCCACCCCATTGCGCAGAGCCACGGATAGCTCCTGCGCTCGGAGGGCACGCAACTTGGCCAGGTCCTCCACGAGGCTGGCCTGGGACCGCCGCTGGGCCTCCATCGACTCCTCCATCTTGGCGAGGATCGAGGGGAGAACGAAGTCGTCGTCGTTCGTCGCCTCCTCGCTCTCCTGACCCTGCAGCTCGGCGCCGACGATACTCTCCAAGGGGCCTCCGACGGCCTCCTCGCCCACCGCCGCGCTGAGCTGCGGGAAGGGCGGGACCTCGCCCAGCACCGTGTCCTCCTCGAAGGGGCTCTGGTGCTCCTGCTCGCTCGCGTCCACGCGCGCCTCGGAGCTGTCCACGACCTGGTCGGTGCCCTTGCACACGTCCACGTCCAGCTCCGCGCCGTCGCCGACGGACCCCTCCAGCATGGTGTCGTCGGCGTGGTCGTCGAAGGGGTTCCCGCCCACCTCCGTGGCCACCGCCGCGCTCGGCACCATGGGCGGAGAGGGCGGGGTCGAGCCGCCGCCGCCCGCCTCGGCCAGGTCCGGCTGCGCCGGCACGCGGGGCCCGCAGCGTCCGCCACGCTGGGCGCGCTGCGGCCGCACCAGGGCTTCCCGCAGGGCCTCCACGCCCTTGCCGAGGACCACGTGCGCCCCGACGTTGCGCCTGGCGCGGGCTGCGCCGCACGCCTGCACGCCCCGCAGCTGCTGGCGCATGGCAGGCTCCATGGCCTGCCAGCGCATAGCGAGCTCGGCGTCCTCCTCGGAGCCGCCGTCCGCCAGGAGCGCCCAGGCGGTGCGCAGCGCTGCGGCCACGGCAGCCGCGATCGCCTGCCGCGAGGCGCCGCCCGCCGCCGCTCCCTGAGCAGCGCCTTGGACGGCCATCGCGATGACCAGTCCAGCGCCGTCCGACCGTAGATCCATCCCCTTGGTGCCGCCGCCCGACGCCGCCATGGCAGGGGCCGCGACACGGGGAGCAGGACAGAGCCGCTCTCTCCTACGAGAAGGAGAGGCACGGCGCGTTCCTGCCCACCCTGGCACCAGGGCAGGCTTGAGCCAAAATGGCTACGGGTGTGTGTGTGTGTGTGTGTGTGTGTGTGTGTGTGTGTGTGTGTGTGTGTGTGTGTGTGTGTGTGTGTGTGTGTGTGTGTGTGTGTGTGTGTGTGTGTGTGTGTGTGTGTGTGTGTGTGTGTGTGTTGTGTGTGTGTGTGTGTGTGTGTGTGTGTGTGTGTGTGTGTGTGTTGTGTGTGGTGTGTGTGTGTGTGTGTGTGTGTGTGTGTGTGTGTGTGTGTGGTGTGTGTGTGTGTGTGTGGTGTGCGTGTGTGTGTGCCGTGCCGAAACAAAGGGGTCGGGGCGGAGGGGCGCGCTGGCTGGTGGGTGGGGGGATGCGGAGGGGGTGTGCCGTGCCGAAATAAAGGGGTCGGAGCGGAGGGGTTTGCCGTGCCGAAAGAAACGGAGTCGGGGCGGAGAGGCGCGCTGGCTGGTGGAATGTGTGGGTGATGGAGGGGGTGCCGTGCCGAAATGAAGTGGTCGGAGCTCTAGACATCCGGTGCAAGAGACTAACAATTTGTATGGACACGACCGCGGAACACAAGCACACACAGCCCGTCCAGGGGCATTCAGCCATAGATCTGCTTCTTCCCCTCATGGGGGTAATAACCGCACCCATCGAAAGCGAGCTCGAGCACGAAAGCGGCAGCGCGCTGCAGTGGCCACCTAGGTCAGCGTCACCACACTCAGGGAAGAGGAGCAGGAGGAGAGCGAGGGGAGAAGGGAAACACGCAAAAGACTGCAACGCATCCGCCCTCGGCCTTCGAGGCCAAGGCGTAACCCATGCAACCTGGGGGAACGATAAACTGCACATAATTTCCACTTGCAGACCCCCGACACCCTGATTTGTTCATAACGTCACCCCCCAAAGGTGTCGACCCATTCCCCAAGACCGGTTTCTCATCGTGAGCCCATCTTGACGGTCCCGATGTCCCGCAAGGGCCCCCGGGGGCCGAAAATATAGCGGAGCACCTCCCGTCGCGATTTTTCTTCACTACGGGAATGGGTGTGGGCTGCATGCTCCCCGACCGACAGCGCGCCGACGACGACGACGACGACGACGAAGATGCCGACGACGACGACCACGACGACGACGACGACCACGACGACGACGACGACGACGACGACGACGACGACGACCACGACGACCACGACGACGACGACCACGACGATCACGACGACGACCACGACGACCACGACGACGACCACGGGGACGGCGACGACGACGACGATCGCCGAGCGAGCGAGCCTCGACACCAGCGACGACGACACCTGCGGCGACAACAGCGACCCCGACGCGACGCTTCGACACTGGCGTCCCGGCAGAGTACCCGGCCTGATAGGGGGGGAACCCTCCGCCTCGTTGCTCCTGGTCCCAGACCCCCTCGCAGTGTGCACAAAAATCACGACGGGAGGTGTTTCGCTGTTTTCGGCCTCCAGGGGCCCTTACCGGGCCTTCGGACAGTCACAAATCGATCCGGAATGATAAACCGGTATCATGACGTCGGGGGTCTGGGGTCCTCTCTCCCTCCCTCACCTCTTCTTCTCTGGGGTTTTGTTCGGGTCGGGGTCCGCCGCGGTGGAGCGAAAGATAGGGCTCCCCCTCGTGCCTCTCCTAGCGCGGGGTCCCCGCCCCCGCCTCTTCGCGGCTCACTTCGCCCCTCGCACAGCGGTGCCCTGGCAGAGCGGCACTGCATGGCTACTAGAGGCCTCCCAGATGGGGTCCAAGCAGACGGGGTCGGAAGATCGCACCGCACCGCCAAGCCAATGCATCAGCGATGCATCGACGATTTCGGCGACGGATCGGCGACGGATCGTGGAGAAAGTCGGGCTCCGCGTCGAGCCGCATAGCCGATGCATCGGCGATGCGGCGCCATCCTCCGACCCCATCTACTCGGACCCCATCTGTGAGGCCTAGAGTGCTTGGGCAGGTCGGAGGAGGGCCATGGGTGCCACCCAAGACATGCGACGTCCTGATTTTCTCAGGCCGGCGTCCCCAGAATTCCCGACCCTTTCACTGGGACCGGCTTTTTCATCCTGAGTCGTTTTGTTGACGGCCCCGGGGCCCGGCGAGGGCCCCCCGGGGCCGAAAACAGCGAAAAACCTCCGTCCTGAATTTTTCACGACGCGATTATGTCTGGGACACAACCTCGACGACGACCTCGACAACCTCAACCGGCGACCGCAAAGACGACGACCTCGACGACGACAAAACAGCACGGCCTCGACGGCGTGGACGACGACGGCGCCCCAGCAGAGCATCGCGACAGCGCAGGAGCACGACGTCGCGCCAGCGGGCACGCGCGAGAGGCCCAACTTTGGGTCTGCGAGCCGGGCAGGCAGGGGGCCTCAGCACGCTGCACAGGCGGCAGGCAGCGAGCGAATGCCTGCCCCCGCCTGTGAGATTTTAAGGGACAGCTCTCAGGAGACCAACTTGAAAGACCCCCATCGCGTTGTGAAAAGATCATGCCGAGAGGTTTTTCCCCTATTTCTGGTGTCCGAAGGCCCTTGCTGGGCCTCGGGACCGTCAAAAAAAACCTCAGGATGATAAAGCTGGCCACGGGGAAAGGGGTCCAGACCTCTGGGGGTCGACGTTGCGAAACAAGCATGACGTCGGGGGTCTGGGCTGTCAGGTCTGACACCTTCTCGACAGAGCTTCGCGTGGAGGATAATCGGTGTTGGGCGAGCTGGGAGCCTGTTTTTGGCCTCGGAGGCAAAGGCCCGAGGTGTGATGCCGACGCTGACCCTCCCGACGCTCGGCGGGGCTGCAGAGACGGAGCCTCGCGCCTGCCCCAGAAAAGATGCACCCCCCCATGCGGGGGAGGAGGAGGAGGAGGAGGATGAGGAGGAGGAGGAGCAGGAGGAGGAGGAGGAGGAGGAGGAGGAGGAGGAGGACGAGAAGGAGAAGGAGGAGGAGGAGGAGGAGGAAGAGGAGCAGACGGAGAAGGAGGAGGAGGAGGAGGAGAAGGAGGAAGAGGAGCAGAAGGAGAAGGAGGAGGAGGAGGAGCAGCAGGAGCACTCAAGCCACTCAAGCCGTCTGACGTTCCACTGGAAAACGAAACTTGGCTCTGGCTGGGGCCGTTAAAACCTTGTTTAACCCCGTGTCGACGCGATCATGTCTGGGACACAACCTCGATGACGACCACGACAACCTCAACCGGCGACCGCAAAGACGACGACCTCGACGACGACAAAACAGCACGGCCTCGACGGCGTGGACGACGACGGCGCCCCAGCAGAGCATCGCGACAGCGCAGGAGCACGACGTCGCGCCAGCGGGCACGCGCGAGAGGCCCGACTTTGGGTCTGCAACCGGGCAAACAGGGGGCCTCAGCGCGCTGCACAGGCGGCAGGCAGCGAGCGAATGCCTGCCCCCGCCTGTGAGATTTTAAGGGACAGCTCTCAGGAGACCAACTTGAAAGACCCCCATCGCGTTGTGAAAAGATCATGCCGAGAGGTTTTTCCCCTATTTCTGGTGTCCGAAGGCCCTTGCTGGGCCTCGGGACCGTCAAAAAAAACCGCAGGATGATAAAGCTGGCCACGGGGAAAGGGGTCCAGACCTCTGGGGGTCGACGTTGCGAAACAAGCATGACGTCGGGGGTCTGGGCTGTCAGGTCTGACACTTTCTCGACAGAGCTTCGCGTGGAGGATAATCGGTGTTGGGCGAGCTGGGGGCCTGTTTTTGGCCTCGGAGGCAAAGGCCCGAGGTGTGATGCCGACGCTGACCCTCCCGACGCTCGGCGGGGCTGCAGAGACGGAGCCTCGCGCCTGCCCCAGAAAAGATGCACCCCCCCATGCGGGGGAGGAGGAGGAGGAGGAGGATGAGGAGGAGGAGGAGCAGGAGCAGGAGGAGGAGCAGGAGGAGGAGGAGGAGATGCAGGAGGACGAGAAGGAGAAGGAGGAGGAGGAGGAGGAGGAAGAGGAGCAGACGGAGAAGGAGGAGGAGGAGGAGGAGGAGGAAGAGGAGCAGAAGGAGAAGGAGGAGGAGGAGGAGCAGCAGGAGCACTCAAGCCACTCAAGCCGTCTGACGTTCCACTGGAAAACGAAACTTGGCTCTGGCTGGGGCCGGTAAAACCTTGTTTAACCCCCTGTCGACGTTTCGCCGATCTGGCAACCATGCTGCTACAAATTGTGCGTGTGAGAAAAATCTGTGCCACGAGGAGATTACACGCAATATGAATACACGAGCACCCTTATTCCTGAACACAACAAACAAACAAGGGCACAGAGAGGGAGATGATTCATGCACATCTGCAGCAGGCTGAAAGGCCAGCGTTGGGGCCCAGCACGGGCGCTCGGCCGAGGGAATGGCCTAGCTGCGGCCTGTAGAAAATTTCTTGCCGCCGCCAAGCTGCCTGGCCATGTTGCCTCTCGGGGCACGATTGTACTTCACTGTGGCACCTGTATTGCGCATCTGCTCACACAACACCTGCTCGACACTCACCCACATGCCTGCCATGGACATCTGCTCACTGGGAAGGTCGAGCGGCGTCATCTGAATGCATACCTCGCCCCCCTTCCCCTCCCTTTGCTTCCCCGATCTGTTTGAGAAGAGCTTCCTTCACGGCTGGATCTTTTGGGAGCAGTATATTGCCTTTGAGCGACAACGTAATGCGATTGAGCTGTTTCTGGCCTGGGCGGTCGTAGGTGGGGGTGGTCGTCATCTCTCTGATCCACCTCGACAGCTGGAACGGCGTTGACTTGGACATCATCATCTGGAGCCTGACACACGCCTCCTTGCCTGCCTGGATGCGCAGAGATGTGTCCGCGGGCGACGAGCTCTCGATAACGGCGAGAGCCGCGAAAAGGGCTTGGCACGCGGGGGCGGCCATCTCCTTGTCTGGATGTTCTTTCCTCACGTTCAGGAAGTTCTGGGAACTGTTGAGCATGGCCTCCACCAGAGGATGCTTGCGCTCCAGTATGAGAGTGGTGAAATTGACCTGCTCGAGGGTTCTCGCGCGAGTCTCGAGCTGGGTGATCAACTTGTCTCGCACAGACTGCTTGGCGCTGTTCTCCTCCTCCTCGTCTGATACGACCTCCATCCCGTCCTCCGTCTTCGTTTTTTTTTTTTTTTATATATAAAAAAAAACTTATTTTTTATGTTTATTTTATGTGTTCTCTCTCTCTCTCTCTCTCTCTCTCTCTCTCTCTCTCTCTCCCTCTCTCTCTGCCCGGATGCGATCGCAAAGCTCTTGCTGCGAGGCCTCGCCAAGCCTGGCGCGTCGCCCTGCGACCCTAGAAAGTTCGGCGCCAGAAAAGGGCGAAGATGAGAGAACGCATGCTTGGACAACTCGGCTGTAGTGTCGAACTCCTCTAGACATACACGACACTTCCTGGCATCCGTTTCGGGTGCATGACTTTCGAAGCCTTTGTTGCAAGGGCAGAACTGACGAACTAGACTTCGCTTAGTACGCTGCAAAGCGACCGTGCGATCACGAAACACGCTAGAGCATATGGTACATTGAGTAGTAATGATGCATATTCTTGCGATGCACAGCTTCCCGCGCGCACCCCCCGACGTCGAAGCGACGCGTGCAACGAGCTGTTTGTATGTCGGCCATTTAGATAGACAGTGCGATCCGTCTGGCATAAATTCTTTGCAAAAAAAAAAAAAACTCGCCGCTCTGGTCCGTCGAGGGAGCCGCGCTGGCGACGGCTGGCAGCTGCACCAAGAAGGCGGCCCGCAACTCGCTGACGCCGATTGCCTGGAAATCCTCTCCAAGCTCAAATAATACACGATCTAGTCTGTGCTCAGCCTCTTCTAGCAGGTCGGCCCCTGCTTCGATGGCTGCCAAAGAATCAATATCTGGCTGCAGCTGACGTGCCCAAAGATGCCCTTTTACCACCCTCCCGTTTTCAAGCGCCTCCCCATCCACCGCCATAATACCAAACATAGCTGCCCAGAGCTGCCCGTGGAACTCTTTCGCCCTGGGCATATGTTGATGCCATCTTGGTCGTCTAAGCCTAAGTTCCAAGAATAGCGGTCCCAAACCAAACTTGCGTAAAACAGCCTGATTGGATAACGTGCGGGCTTTTCCCTCATGCCATGAACACGTCCCTTGAAGTATGGCTCGGCCCTTGGCTACTATGAACCCTTCGAGTCCCGCGAGATCTCTAGGTGCCAGGGGGCCCGCGCCTTTGGCCCAGACCTCCATTCCAGACAGAGCCGTATTCACTAGAAGACCCTTGACCAGGTTGGCTTTTAGCTTCCATGGGGCGTTCGAGTACCAGGACTTTCCCATCGAGTAAAAGCTCACACGTACTGCATGCTGCCGCTTCAGCAGCTCGGGAACTGGTGCAAAAGTGGAGGTAACATGTCCCCAAATATATATGGCGCGACGCTTGGCGGCGCCGTCCACCTTCGAGTTGCCGCGGCGAAGCTCGCGTGACAACTCATAGGACCCAGCGCCAGTGAGAAACGATATATTCTCCTGCTTGCTAATATTCTGGCTGGCTCACACCTCCCCCATTCCCATGTCCATCGCTAGGTTCCCCGCTGCTGACCCTGCTGCTATGGTCTCTGCTCCTCCTCCTGTCCCCTTCGCCATGCATTTGTTGGCGGTGCCATCTACAAATCCAGTAATTGCGACCTGCCTGATGCCCTGCCCTTGGTCATCCCACGGCAGTCTGGCTTCGACAGCGACGTGCCATCCTGCTCCACAGAACATATCGGCTACGTGCTGCATCACTGGCTGGGAGAAGGTGCAGACGAAAATGAACATCGCCCCCGTATCTCAAGGAAAAACTCAAGTTCCTGGTCGTAGCCAAAACACCCCCGTCTCATCCTCTCTCGAAACTCGGTCATCCAGGAACTCCAGACCCTCGTAACAATACAGAGTTCCCCCAATCTTCAAAACTGCGCTGTGCTTCAAAGAGAAAAAAACGTTGGTGGCGTCGTGACGCCTCAGCATGTGGGATACGCCTCCTTTCTGTGTCCTACAGCTACCTATAACTTGGATTGCCATGGCTGTTTCTCGTCTCCGATCTCGGAGTCCCCCATATACCCAGCCGGGCGGCTCCCACGCCCCAGGTGTTCCGCGTCGTTCCTTCAGAACCCCCGAGTGGAAGCATCGGCCCAGGGTGCACATGACCATAATGATTCCCTCGCCATCACAATCCACTTTCGCACGTTTGGGTAGTCTGGCCGTCTGTGCTGCATGCCAGGCCGCGGGCGTGCGCCTCCAGCGCCGACACGCCCATAGTAGCTTCTTTAGCATATCAACAGATCCATTGGACTCGAGCTCGAGAGCTCCATGGCCCAATCCAACACGAGCTCGAGCCCTCCGCGAGTTTGTCCACTCAGGGAGAAATAGCACACGCAATATCTCGGGCGGGCACGACCACTGAGGCCATGTGCGCCAAAAACGAAGACGCCATACTGCGGAAGCCATACGTTTATAATCTGTCATGGCCATCTCAAGAGCACCCATGTCATCTCTCATAGGTCGTTGCAGATCATCAGCCTCATGTTGTATGTCTTCCAGTGTGGCTGGGTGGGCATCACATCCTCCCTGGGCGGCGGGCAACTGCATACGCCTGCACCATGCAACTGATGTGGCTGCTGACACAGGTACTGCACGAAACTGTCGCTTTCGCGGTCCTCGTCCTTTTGCTGCTAGTAGTCTCTGCAATTTGTGCACAAGATAGAAATTGCGCTGCTCGGCAGCTTTCGAAAGCTCAGCCACCCTTCGTTCCTGAACTTCTTCCTAGTACTTCCGAGCCGGCTCCCGTAATTGGCGACTGAGGTGTTTGATGACAAGAGTCTCGTGCTGTGCCAGAAATTCATCGCCTGCTCTTCCCAAAAATTCACGTCGATTGCGTCGTTGCTCCAGGGGACTCCCTAGAAATTCAGCTTGGCTTTTCCGTTCTTCACTGGCTAGAGGGCTTCCTGTGAAAACCTCGAAGGCGGCCTCGTTGACTACGTGCATGAACATGCTATTCAGCTCATCCACCTTTCCCTCCTCCCTCATCTTGTCGAACTCCTCCTCCACCTCAATAGCTCTGCGATTGATGGCCTGCAGAAACTCATGCCTGTTGTGGCCAACCTGCACACACTCATACAAAGCTTCTTGGTTGGGACGTTTGCCTCTCTCTGGAAGTGGGGCTGCCGTGGCTTGCAGGAGCGAGGGAAAAAACAAAACAAACAAAAAAAAAAACGGCCGATGATCTCTGGCCGTCACTGTTTGGAATAACTGAAGCCTGCGACCTGAGCGAATGTGTACGCTGCAAGAGGCAACTGCGGGCAGCACGTCCATCGGGGCGAAGATGTGGTCGATGTGGCTGGACCCTGTCTCCCCGATGTAGGTGGGAGGTTTGGGAAAGTAGGTGTTCGTCGCCACGAGACCCCATGCTGCCAGAATGCTCCTTAGTGCAGCCGATGCTGGGGTAGTACGTCCTTCCAAGAACTCGCCTGCAACTTGGTCGTCCGAGCTCCGCGGAAAACCACCACTGACATCTGCGTATATCAGCGGTATAGCTCGTCTCTCATGAAAAAACTCCAGAGTAGATTGCAGCCATTCACACAATGCTGACATTCACACAATGCTGAGACCGCCCTTTCATAGTTATCCTTCTGCCCCTGCTTGGAGACACGAGGAGGGAAATACAAACCGACAAATCCGAAACATTGTTCTTGTTGCTGGACAAGTAGCCCGAGTGCTCGTCCCCATAGTTGCTTGGGAACGGGGACGAACCTCTTGATGCTGTGCCGAAGGAATATGCTACTCTTGAGCGTGATGGTATTCCGCACGATGTAGTCACAAGAGGGCCCCTGCGGTATCCTGCGCGAATACATCTATAACGACCGACAACGAGCATATATTATATATGTTACCCGCTGCTGCGTTGTTGTGTGCCGCCCAATATGACAACATCATAGTTTGGATATTCTCCTGATATATCCGACAGCCTGGACAGTCGCGACGCGGCGCATGGGTTGTACCCCACGAGTCTCAAGAGTCCTGCCGCCATCAGCCATCAGCACCATCACCTGCAGGCGCGCGGCCGCCATGGCCGCCTGGGGCGAGAAGGCCCTGGAGAGCTTGCGATCCTCATCCCTCAGGGGTGGGGTCCGTTCTCTCAATGGCTCGGGCCACCTGGAGGAGGAGGAGGAGGAGGAGGAGGAGGAGGAGGAGGGAGGAGCATGCTCCCCTCGCTGTGGAGATGCTCCCTCCGTCCTGGCGGGGACGCACGACGTGGTTCTTGGCCGTCCTTTGCGGCATCCGGCGACCCCTCCCGCCAGGCCGCAGGGCCACCAGCAGCAGGGTTCGGGGCGAACCTCCGGCCTCGGGGACGCGGGGCCCTGGGCCTCTGCGGGCCGGCGCCAAAGAGCCGCGGCGTCGGGGCTCTGCTGGGCGCAGCGAGCTGCTTCAAGGGAGCCCAGCAGCGAGCGGGGGCTCCCCCCCGGCGGCCGAGCGGCGGCGGCGGGCGAGGGCCGGCAAGCGGGAGCCAGCAGGAGAGCAGGCCACACGCGAGCCCTGCCCCACCGCCCCACGATTTTCGAAGGGGGGGAGGTGGGGTTCACTTCGTTCGGGACCTCCCGAGCGAAGTGAGCCCCAGGCTCCCCACCTCAGAAATCGTGGGGTGGTGGGGAAGGGTTCGCGTGTGGCCTCATGCATGATGGAGCGTGGGCGTCGCTTCATTCCTGGGGGGCGACAAATGAGGGGGGGAGAAAGGTGCCCTTCTCGGGACCTCAAGGCCCCCATTGGGGCCCCAAAGGGCCCGATGGGGCCCCTTTAGGGCCCCTTTTCAGCAGCCCTCGCTGACACCCCCCTGTATCGCCCCCCATGCCGCGATGCCCGAACGATGCGGGGAGGTTGAAATCTGGCCGCGCACGGCAGAAGCTCTGATTTTGACTGCAGGCACGCGGGCACCCCTTACAGCGTCAATGGAAAGGCGTGCGCGAGAACGCGGCTCTCTCCCTCCCTGGCAAGGGCAAAGGGGCTTCGGGTCCTGGTTGGGATACACGAAGGCTTCGTTGGGCTCCTCGTCGATGATGAGGGCGTCTACCTGGCGCTGCTCTGCACCCGATCTGCCGGATCACTACACCCTGATCTGATCATGACCAAAGGCGGCTGAGACCCACTCCTGGACAACTCCCACCACTTCCGCAGGGGAGCACGGGGAAGAAGGAGGAGAAGCAGGAGGGACAGGAGGAGGAGGGAGAGGAGAAGGGGGCGCAGGAGCAGGAGGAGGAGGAGGAGGAGGAGGAGGAGTTGGAGTTGGAGGAGGAGGAGGAGGAGGAGGGAGGGAGGGAGGGAGGGAGGAGGAGAGGGAGGGAGGAGGAGGGAGGAGGAGGAGGAGGAGGAGGAGGCGGAGGACGACGACTGACACAGCATTTGGCGGGCCATCAAAGCGAACGGCCACCCACTGCCGCACGCCGCTGCTGCACGGCACGTCTCAAAAAGGCGGCGCCGCCCCAGCGACAGGCCCAGGCCCCCACGGCATCGCCCCCCCCAGGCCCCAGGAGGAGGAGGAGGAGGAGGAGGAGGAGGAGGAGGAGAGAGGAGGAGGAGGAGGAGGAGGAGGAGGAGGAGGAGGAGGAGGAGGAGGAGAAGCAGGAGCAGGAGCAGGAGCAGGAGCAGGAGGAGGAGCAGGAGGAGGAGGAGGAGGAGGAGGAGGAGGACTAGGGGAACGCATCGGCGTTTGCTCTCGGCGGCGCGCGAGGGGGGGACGTGAGAAGGGGACGGCCATCTCGGGAGGCGGCGGGGCTCCTCAGAAGCCGCCGCGCCTCCTGAGAAGTTCCCTGTGGCTTCGGGGGCAGCATCGAACATGTCCTAGAAGGCCAGGGGGCTCCCAAGCCTTCCTGAGAAGCCCTGCCCCTTCTCATTTCCCCGCCGGGCTCACCGCCGATGTTGTCCTGGATAACCAAAAAAACGTCGCGTTTGACGGAAAGGGCTGGGAACATACAGGGCACGACTGTGTAATAAGCACATGGAACATACGCGGTAACACGGTGGGCCCTCAGATCTGACGGCGCCCAAAAATTACACTATCGCGAAAAATCACCACCGGAGTCCCGGACCCCATCTTCCAGCGTAATTTTTCGACCTGGATCGATATGTGATGGTCCCGGAGCGCGGAACCAGGCGAAAACGGCCGTTGTTAAAATACTACAACGCCAGGATCTCAATGGATCTGCTCATTTCCCGAAGCCCCATCCTCCCACCTCGACGGCTGTCTTTCTGAGAAAGCACATCTGCGACTTGGCTATCCAAGTGCACGCCGCGAAACTCGGAGACGATGCCCTATCGGTGCCGCTGGCCCTGTGGGGAAGGAGTAGCCTATTGGAGATCTACTGACCCAGGTCATCCAAACCCGGGTCAGCCAGGCCGTGCGAGATCCTGCAAGATCCTGCGCCCAAAGCCCCGGTCAATGCACCCTGGGCCCTGCAGGATCCTGCAACATCCAGCGCTCTGGCTGGTTCCCGTTTGTATGGACCCCCGTCTTTCGGCTCCGGAGCCCAGATGGCTCTCGCCTCTCGGCGGCTCAAGCCTGGGACCCGCTCCTGTCCGTAGGACCCAAGCCGTGACGGCGCCCCGCCTTTGCCCCGCGAGCCTTCTCCGACTTTTGTTGGTCACAGCGCGCCAGTCCCGACAGGTCCCTGGACCTCCTTTCCAGGGGGGCCAGCCTTCCACCCCGAGCCGTGCCCAGACGGCCCCAGTGCCCGACGAGGGCCCCCCGGAGGCCGAACACTGCCCCAAAAAGGACCCGTCGCGATCCCAGACCCCTGACGCCATGACCTGTTCGTGACGTCGACCCCCAGAGGTTTCGACCCGTGCCCCGGGACCGGCTCTTTATCCTAAACCGACCTTTGACGCCCCAGAGGCCGAAGATACCCAAACACCGTCCGTCGTGATTGTTTCGTGGCTCGAGATGATCTGTGCCAATCACGACTGTCGCGCCACGAGAAGAGCGGCCTGTCTGAGGACTCCGCTGGGGGTTGCGGCCGGATGCCCGGGGCAACGGGGGCTCCGTGGAGGCCAGAGGCAGCCCGAGGCACTGCGCCGCGGGTCTCCTTTCGCGGCGCGAGGCCGCCAGCGCGACCCTGACCTGCTCGAGCCTGGAGCAGCCCTCGGGCGCGGAGGGGCTCTTGCTTCGCGGGCGAAGATCGGCATACGAATGAACGTGCTGCGCCGTCCGATACGCCTCCCCCGAGGCCGCTGGATTATTTAAGAACGTATGTATGCATGTATGTATGTATGTACGCATGCACGCGCGCATGTGTTTGTGCGTGTATGTCTGTATGCATATGTGAACGGATGCATACATGTATGTGTACATGCACGCTTGCATGTATGTACGAATGCGTGTATGTAGGTACGTAGGTATGCTTGTAAACATGCATGTGTGCATATATAGATATGTATATATATGTATATATATACATATGCATATATATGTATATATATGTACATATATATATATATATATATATATATATGTGTGTGGTTGTAGTATGTGCGTAGTTAATTTGAAGGAGCTTCTGTGGAACTCGCGTCATCTTTACCCCCGGCGCGCGGGAGAGTCGCTTCCCAACGCACCTCCAGGAACCATCTCTGCCGCTGCACCGGGCGCACCGGGCGCGCAGGGGGGCCCAACCCGGCGACCTCGCTCGAGACATCCTCGCAACATTGTTACATGGGCCCCCAGCGCACTGGGCGTGTCCCAACCTGGCGCCCTCGCCCGAGACATCTTTGCAAAATCGCCCCACGGGCCCCCCACACACCCCCACGGACCATTTCCGGCGCTGCACCGGGCGCACCGGGCGCGCCGGGCGCGTCCCAACCCGGCGCCCTCGCTCGAGACATCCTCGCAAAATTGCCCCATGGGCCCCCAAGGACCATTGCTGGCGCTGCGGTACAGGGCGTGTCCCAACCCGGCGGCCTCGCTCGAGACATCCTCGCAAAATCGCCCCGCGAGCCCCTGCAGCGCACCTCCAGGGACCATTTCTGGTGCTGCACCGGGCGCACCGGGCGCGCCGGACGTGTCCCAACCCGGCGCCCTCGCTCGAGACATCCTTGCAAAATCGCCACACGGGCCCCCGGCGCACCCCAGGAACCCCCAGGTGATCCCCGCCCGCCCGATCCGCACCCTCCCTGATCATCACTCTCCTCATCCTCGCTCTCCCGATCCTCACCCGCCGTACCAACGTCACCCGTTCATTCTCACCATCGTCATCGAGCACAGGCGCACGCGCCTTTTTTGATTCTCTCTCTCTCTCTCTCTCTCTTTCTCTTTTGTCTTTCTCTCTCTCTCTCTCTCTCTCTCTCTATCTCTCTGCATATATGTATGTGTATATATATATATATACAGAAACTCCCGATCAACCACAGAGCGGCCGGCTAGTAAGCAAATACGCATTCGTGTGTGTGTGTTTGTTTGTGTGTAAGTAAGGATGTACGTGAACATGTGTGCACACATGTAGATTTGCAGCTATGACTTTGTGCATGCATGCATGCACGTAGGTATGTATGTTTGTGTGAATGCATGCATGCATGTGTGTATGTACGTACGTATGATTGTATGTATGCAGGTGCGTACGCATGTATGGAAACGTGTGGAGATGTATGTATGTGTGTATGGATGTATGTAGGTCTGTGTGCATGCATGTATGTATGTAGATTTATGCAGGTATGAAACAACGCGTTCTGGGGGCGTTTGGAGGGGGGGAACCAAACCACCACCACACCGGATTGAAAAGATGGCGGGTTCGACCCCCCCCCCTCCCGTAACGGAAAGGGGCAGGGTTCGAACACTCCCCCCTCCCCCCCTTCCTCCTCTGTTTCTTCTCTCTCCCTCTCCTCGGGCCGGCGCCTGCGTCGGCGGCGGCTGGCGGCGGCGGCGGCAGGGAGCGTCGATGAAGACGACGACGTCCTTTTTGGGCTAGCGCCGGCGCCTGCGGCAGCTGGCGGCGGCGGCGGCAGGGAGCGCCAACGAGGACGACGGCGACGACGATTATGACGACGACGACGCTCCGTCACCGTGCATTGGTTTCAGGTCGGGGTCCTAATCGGTTATGCCTCTTGGGGTCTCGTCGGAGGGCTCTCGGGGGCCTCCGAAGGGCACTTGTGAAGCCTCCTGAGCGCCTGTTAGGCGTCTCTTTGGGCCCATCTGAGGTGGTGGTGGTGGTGGGCTATGGTGGTGGTGGTGGTTGTGGTTGTGGCGGCGGCGGTGGTGTTGTGGTGTGGTGGTTGGTGGTAGTGGTGGTTGAGGTCGTGGCTATAAGTGTGGTTGTTGTGGCAGGTTGTGGTGGTGGTGGTGGTGGCGGTGGTGGTTTCTTGTGGTGGTGGTGGTAGTGGTTGTGGTGGTGGCTTGTGGTGGTGGTGGTGGCGGTGGTGGTTGTGGTGGTGGTGGCGGTGTGGTGGTTTGTTGTGATGGTGGTGGTTGTGGGGTTGGGTGGTGGTGGTGGTCGTTTGTGGTGGTGGTGGTGGGTTGTGGTGGTGGTGGCGGTGGTGGTGGTTGTGGTGTTTTGGTTTTTGGTGGCGGTGGTGGTGGTTGTGGTGGTGGTGGCGGTGTGGTGGTTTGTGGTGGTGGTGGTGGTGGTGGTGGTTTTGGTGTCGGGTGGTGGTGGTGGTGGTGGTGGTAGTTTGTGATGGTGGTGGGTTGTGGTGGTGGTGGCGGTGGTGGTGGTTGTGGTGTTTTGGTTTTTGGTGGTGGTGGTGGTGGTGGTCGGTGGTGATGCTGGTCGTGGTGGTGGTGCTGGTGGTGGTGGTGGTAACGGTGGTGGTGGTGGTTTTGTGGTGGTGGTGGTGTTAGGTGTTCTGGTGGTGAGGTGGTGGTTGTGGCGGTGGTGGTGGTGGTGGCGGTGTTGGCGTGGTGGTTGACAGTGGTGGTGGTGGTGGTTGTGTTGTGGTTTGTGGTGGTGGTGGTTGTGTGGTGCTTCGTGGTGGTGGTGATGGTGGGTTATGCTGCTGGTGGCTGTGGTGGTGGTGGTTGTGGTGGTGGTGTGGTAGTGGTTGTGGTGGTGGTTGTACTGGTGGTGGGTTGTTTTCGTGGTGGTGGGTTGCGGTTGTGGTGGTGGTGGTGGCTGTGGTGGTGGTGGTTGTGTGGTGGTTTGTGGTGGTGGTGGTGGTGGGTTGTGGTGGAGGTGGTGGTGGTGGTTGTGCTGGTGGCGGTGGTGGTTGTGGTGGGTTGTGGTGGTTTGTGGTGGTGGTGGTGGTGGACTGTGGTGTTGGTGGTGGTGGTGCTTGTGGTGGTGGTGGTGGTGGTGGTGGGTGGTTGTGGTGGTGGTGGTTGTGTGATGGTTTGCGGTGGTGGTGGTGGTGGGTTGTGGTGGTGGTGTTGGTGATGGTGGTGTCGCTGGAAGCATCGTCGCTGCGTTCACGCCGTTGGCGCTGCTGGCTGCCGCCAGCGCTGGCGCCGGCGCCGGCGTCGGGTGGGGGGGTGGGGTTCCAAACACACCCCCAGGGGCCCTCTCTGGACATCGTCGCTGCGTCCCCGCCGTCGGCGGTGCTGGGCACCGCCAGCGCTGGCGCCGGCGCCGCCGCCTGGAAGGGGGGTGGGGCTTTGGGGAGGGGAGGGGTTAGGGGGAGGGGAGACCCCCTGGTTCTGATCGACGGCGCCGAATGTTGGGGGGGGGCAATCCCGGTTCGAAACGCGCCGCCGAATGTTCCCAAGGCAAGCGCCCGTGAAACGCGCTCTCTAGTGTGTACGCAGTGTATCATATCATATTATGTGATAAATTATCCCAGTGCGACACTACCTAGGAGTTGGAGCCTCTAGGATAGCAACATTAGTAGGAGCGGTAAACGCCCTCCTCATCCTTCTCCTCATCGTCGTAGTTGTAGCAGTAGCGGTCGTAGTAGTAGTAGTAGTAGTAGTAGTAGTAGTAGTAGTAGTAGTAGTAGTAGTAGTAGTAGTAGTAGTAGTAGTGGTGGTAGTAGTAGTAGTAGTAGTAGTAGAAATAATAGTGGATGCTATGCTCTGCTCTGCTATGCTATGATATGATATGCTATGCTCTGATCTGCCCTGCTATGCTATCCTATGCTATGCTGCGCAATGCTATGCTGGGCTAGGCTATGATATGCTATGCTATGTTGGGCTATGCTATGATATGCTATGCTGCGCTATGCTATGCTACGCTAGGCTATGCTGTGCTCTGCTATGCTAGAATTCAGCGAAGCTAAGATGAAGGTAAGCTAAGCTAAGATACACCTGAGCTGAGATGAAGCTAAGCTAAGCTAAGATGTAATAAGCTAAGCTAAGATGAGATAAGCAACGCTAAGCTAAGGGGACGTAACTGGGGGAACCGCGAGGCGGACACTGGGGGAACCGCCGGGGCCGGTTCCCATTGCCCGGCCCTTTAAGCCAAGAGAGTAAGAACCCTTCTAGGCAGAGCCTAGGTCGGGAAATATAGAATCGGATTGCATTGCATTGAATTGTACTGTGTTGTGTTGTAGTGTACTGTAGTGTCTTGTATTGTCTTGTATTGTATTGCATTGACTTGCAATGGATGTATGTATGTTTGTAAGTGTGAGAGTATGTATGTATGTATGCATGCATGTATGCATGCATGTATGTGTCTATGTGTGTATGTACATACGCATATATGTATGTATGTACGTGTGCATGCTTGCATGTATGTAATTACACATATATATACATATATACACATACAACTCTATACTCCGAAGGGGTGTAAACTTTCCAACCGACCTGGACCAGGCGTCCCCGACGGCGGAAACATGGACTCTATACATACCGTGCTTCGTCCGTCCGACGATGTGCTCTTGTTGCCAAATGCGCGGCCCCAAAGTCCCGGCCCCTTCCCCAGGGGCCAGTTTTCCGCCTCGGACCCATGTAAGACGAAGCCAAGGCGAGGATAACATCGGGTGAGGATGAATCGAGAATACCTGAGATCCGGCGGCTCTGGAGGATGTCTCGAGCGCCGCGGCTTGAACATGTTTATCCTCGTCCTAGCCCCGTCCGACCTTGTCTGATTGCCGCGTTGCAAAGAAAAAAGGCCCCCGATGGCGGAACCTGGGGAAATACGCCCCGATGGAGAAAAAACACCAGACAATCGGAGATCGCTGCGAGACAACAAAGTACCGTACTGTTGAGCCCCGTTGACCATAACATCGAAAATAATATGGCCGTGGTGGCGATTACCCTCCAGGACGGGCAGTGGTATCGGTAACATCCCGTCCTCTGAGGTCTGAGATCGGGGGTCCCTCCAGGATCGAAGCCAGCCTCCCGCTCGCCCCAGCCAGCTACGAATCTGCTGCCCAGGGCGCACCCCCCCATTTCTCGCCATCGCTGCGACGTCCATCCCCCCTGCATTTTTCGGTTGTTCGATTCCGTGCGGGTAGCTCTTCGTATGTAAGATGACCCAGTGTGCTCCTCGATGGTCCTCGCAGAAAAAAAAAGTGCACACGTCCGAGAGATGTCAAGCTTTGGACAATGCCCCGCGGGGTCGTGGGGATCATGTATCAACCACAATCTGACATGACCATTTCCTCCTCTGAGATCGGGTGTCCCCGCAGGATCGAAGGCAGCCTCCCGCTCGCCCCAGCCAGCTCCGCATCTGCTGCCCAGGGCGCCCCCCACCCCCCTCTCTCGCCATCGCTGGGACGTCCATCCCCCAGGCCTTTGTCGGCTTCGTGCGGGCATATCTTGCGCAAGAGGACCCACTGTGCTCCTCGAGGGTCCTCGCCGAGAAATACTCCAAATTTCGGCTTCGTGCGGGCATCTCTTTCGCAAGAGGACCCAATGTGCTCCTCGAGGGTCCTCGCCGAGAACAGCATGCACACGTACGAGCGATGCCACGCGTTGGACGCTGCCCCGCGCGGTCCACCCGCTCGGGGGTGTCGCCACCGCCTCGAGCAGCGCCGCGCGCCCTCCTCGAGGAGGCGGGCTCCGCGCCACCCCGAAGAGAGAGCCTTTCCAGCGCAGAGCCCTTTTCCAGCACGACACCAGGCGTCCCATGTGCTCCTCCGCTGGGAACAAAAATGCACATGTCCGAGCGATGCCACGCTTTGGATGCTGCCCACCGTCTCCAGGAGCAGCGCCGCGCTCCCTCCTCGAGGGGGCGCCCCCCGCTACCCCCCCCCCTTGAAGAGAGCCTTTCCCGCGCAGAGCCTGCCCAGCACGACCCCACAGGCGTCCACAGACCTCCTCGAGCAAGGGGCAACGCTCCGGGGGGGCTGGCATTTGTTGGGGATCCTCTTTTTCTCCAATAGAACCAATGTGCTGATGATGAACTTTGCCAGCTCGCCCGCTGAGGGACAGGGGACTCCACCGTGCGAAGCACAAGCCACGAGGAAGAGGAGGGAGAGTGGGCGGCGTGGTTGCCAAAATTTGCTGTCGCACGCGTTGGCAACTGAAAAACCCTGACCCGGGTCATTCAGACCCGGGTCAGTCAGGCCTTGCAGGATCCTGCAGAATGCTGCAGGATCCCGCACACAAGCCTCAGTCAATGCGACTCTGGCTCTGCAGGATCCTGCAAGATCTGGCGCTCTGGCTGACCCCCGTTTACATTGACCCCCGTCTCTTGACGTCAAAATCTGAGCAGGGGCCGACCGTCCCGGCCTGAGAACTCCAAACAAGTTCTGATATCATGCAGCCAACGTGATAAAACAAAACAGTATCAGCCAGACATGTTCTGATAGCATTTCGCGCAAACCACAAAAAGTTCGTAGAACATGATTTGGTGGGCTTATAGGCCAGCCAGGGCGCTTCGCCACTGCTCGAGGCATAGTTAGGGGGCGGAAAGCATCGACCTGGAACTGGTGATACATCGCCGATGGATCGGCGACGGCCCCGCGATCGCACATCCCCAGGTTTCTGGGCGGGGTGGGGTGGGGCCATCAGACCCCTTATCGGCGATCAGTGGGCGATCAGGGATCGATGCATCCCCCCCTGAGCCTACCCTGAGATCTGACGTCACACAAAAAAACAGCATCCTGAAAAATCACCACCAAAGCCCTGGACCCTATCTCTATGCCCCTCACTCGATCTCCGATCTTGGAGCATTGTATCGAGAAGTCGGACCGGCGATCGACATGAACCGGATTTCGGCGGGAACCGGCAGCCGGGTCGGGAGAAGTCGCAATCGGCGGAACTCGGCCGCCTCCTCAGGCCACCACTGCGACATCGGAAAGCCCAGGTCGGAATCCGAAGCCGAGTCGAATCGGAAGCCGCAAGCCCAGACACCCGCCGACATGTGTTTTGTTCCAGTCCGCGGCGGCCACAGAGGTCCTGACTCCTTCCCCGGGGACGGCTTCTCGTCCCAGACAAGCCGCCGGATACGAAAAAGCATCTCCTCGGATCTCGGGGAACAACGAAAGACCGAATCCAGTGGAGTCGGGAACGTCGGGGTCGGCCCTGCGAGCTGGGCCGCCTCGTCGAGGATGAGCACGCGGTCCTGTGCGCGGGGCCGGCCCGAACGCGCGCGCCCGGCGCGCGCCCCCGACCGCGAGGGCTCGGGGCGAGCGGCCCACCCGTGGCGGGCCGCTCGGGGGGGGCTGGTCGACAGGCGGCGCGCCACCGCCGCCCCTCGCCCTGAGATGCAGCAGACTGGCGAGAGCACGAGGAGCGTTCCTCCTCCTCCTCCTCCTCCTCCTCCTCCTCCTCCTCCTCCTCCTCCCTCGCGTCTCAAAATTGGTGCCACCACGAACACCACTGCACAGTTACGTATTCGACGATGGACCCCCTGTTGCCCACCAGCCCTGAGCGGTTCTCGGCGGTGTTCTGGCGGTCTTTGGCGGTCCTCCTCAGTCTTGAGCGGCTTTCTGACGGTCTTCGGCGGTCTTCGTCGGTTTGAACGGGTTGCTGGCGCGAAAGCTGGATGGTTGCGGTCAACCAGGGGTCCATGATCGAGCACCGAACCATTTAACTCCGTGCCCAAGGACCACCCACACGAGCTGGTGGCACTCCGTTCGGGGCACTCTATAGGGGCGCGCCCGGAACGGGGTGCCAGCAGATCGAGGAGGGGAGCGGCCAGCCCATCTAGCTGGTGGTGTTGGTTCTTCCTTCCCTGGTGAGTTCTGTGAGAGAACAAAGAAAACACAACTGGAGGCTGCTGCTTGGTTCCATGAAGCACGGCGCCCGCTTATCCGCAGTGGCGCACGCGGCACAGCAACTGCGGTGGGGGCGTTCGTCAATGAATGTGCCCAGAAGGCTTCAGACCCTGGAGGATTCCTTCTCTGATGAGGGTGGCGGTGATATCCATAGCCAATCCACGATTGGAGGTCCACCGGCTTCCAGGCCCTGGATTCCTGATCCAAGGGTTCCTTATCCAATGCCCTCCCCGAACAGACACACCGAGCATTGTGAACATATCAACGATATAAGCCGCCCCCAGGCAGACACCCGACATGAGACAATGAAGCACCTCTGGCCGCTTGCAGTCTTGGGGGGGGGCTTTTCGACCTCTGGGAGTCCTCACTGGGCCTAAGACGACTCGGGACGACAATCCGATCTCAAGTCAAGGGGTCCAGATCTCTAGGGGCCCGCGTTCTGACGCATCCACGACAACGAAGTTCTGGGTCTGACCCTTGACGTGGTCATTGTTGCCATATGGAAAAGAAGATTCCACTGAACGCGACGTCTTGTTTGCGGTGTTCGGTGTTTCGTTTAGCAATTGTGCTGATGCTTGCTCGATCCTTCTCTTTGCCACTCTGCTTTCTCCCTCTCTCGGGGGGGGGAACATTGGCGCAGGCAATAGGGCCCCCCACCAAGATGGAGGATGAGCGATGAGTGAACAGGGAGGAGAAGGAGGACAAGGCCAAAGACCCGATAACGTTCCAGATCACCTAGGTGCGGGCTGGCCCATGCACGGCAGTGTCGCTGTAGGATTGCGTACAACACCTACTCAGCATATGAATGGCCATAGTCATGTGATGCAGGGTCAACCTCGCATCATCTATAGGGCGACATGGCACGTGGTGTTTGAAGCCTGCGTGAGTGCAAGACGTGGTTCGTCATGGTGATGCTCCGCTACAATTGTCTGTTCGCACATGGAGGCCGTGTGGCGCACGATCCGCGCCGCCGCGCGCGGGGCCCATCAACCCGCCCACGACGACTCCCGCGACGGCTCCCCCACGCGATGAGGCGTGGCAGGGCCGACGACAACGACGACGAAAAGGGGGATGGCGAAGCGAGAGGACGAGGGAACCAACGAAGCGAAGGATGGCGATCCATACGGCCACCTTGACGGCTGCCATGCATCGACGCGTAGAGGGATGTTCTGCGGTTCCTGGTAGCACTTGCCATGAGAGGATGAGCGGTCGGCCTCCCGCTCGGTGGGCGTTGCTGGGCCGCTCTGGGGCGTAAGGTCGCTGAAAGCCAGGACCGTTGCTTTCGGCAGTCCTCCGGCTTTGGCCCGGAGAGCGTCCAGGGTGGCCAAAGGAGGCCTGCGACATCGACGCAGGACGGCGCCCAAGGCCCCCAAGAGGAGGAGGAGCAGGAAGAGGAGGAGGATGAGGAGGAGGAGGAGGAGAAAGGGAGGAGGAGGGAACAACCTGAGGAGGAGGAGGAGGAGGAGAAGAAGAGGAGGAGGAGGAGAAGAGGAGGAGGAGGAGAAGAGGAGGACGAGGAGGAAGATGAGGAGGAGGAAGAAGAGAGGACCCCCCCTCCCGGGGAGCGCGGATCGTCCCGAGTGGTCTCTCGACGGGCCTGGAGGCCCAAGGAGGGCTCCCGGAGGCCGAGAAAGCGGATAGAGACCCATACCATCCCAGACATGCTCGCGTCGTAAAACAATCAGGACGGCATTTTTTTTGTATTTTCGGCCGCCGGGGGCCCTCGCTGGGCCCACGGGCTGTCAAAAAACGACGCAGGATGAAAAACTGCCCCAGGGAAAGGGTCGGGACTTCCGGGGACGCCGTCCTGAAAAAATCAGGACGTCGCATGTCTGGGGACCCTCTGATACAAGATTTGTTCGATCGCGATCGGTAACAACCGATCAGCACTCCAAATCGGTCGCGGCCAATCGCGACCGATTCCCAAATCGGTCGTGACCGATCGCGACCGATCGCGACAGGTCGGTCGCGACCCATCGGCCGCGACCGATTTTGAAGCAAATCGGTCGCGACCGATCCCAGAATTTGAAGCGAAATCGGTGGCGACCGATCTCGTCGGTCGCGACTCGAAAGCTTGAGTTTCCAGCCCTCAGGGGAGGGGTGGGTTCTGAGAAGGCCTGCCTCTCGTGCTTCCCCTCTCGGCGCGCCGCCGACCAGGGGCCCCGTAGGCAACCGCATGCGAACCCCACCCCAGCAGGTCAGGTTTTCCCGAAGCACCGTCCCGGGGCTCACAGTCTGAAAGGTGTCCACAGCCAAGTGGACCCCAGTGAGGACGTCTGGTGCCGCAGCGTCCATGGGACCTGGAGGAGTAGAGTTCGCGAATGGCAGGATCAATCAAAATCGAATCGAGAAGCCGGATCGGATCGGAATATGCGTCGGATCTGGCTGCACCGACACTGAGTCGAAATCAAATCGGATCGGCGACGGCAAGATTCACAGCAACGCCATGCGAACAGCAAGCCGCATCGCACCGTCGGAACATCGGAATATCGAACCGGATTGGGGGAGCCGAGATCGATCTGGAATCGGATCGATCGAATCGAAACGACGTGCCATGAGCGGCCGCAGACAGGAGCGCCGGCGCGGCGAGGACTATCAGCCTGCAACATTGCCTTATCCCTACTATTGGCATAGCCTCATCTCGTTATCAACCTTTACAGTCGCATACTGAGGATCCCCTCGGTGTCCAAAGGCCCATCCCTAAGATTGCCATCGCTCTTTCGAACGTCACTCCTGGGGTCCCAGACATCGGCTGTTCCAGTATTTGTTGATGCGTGGGCCACGGATGTCTCAACCACTCCCCTAGGAGCGGTTTTCCATCCCGAGTCTTCCATTGTTCCCGTCGCACTTAAGGACCTCATCCCAGCTCCACTTTCGAGCTCGAAGAAGCATCGCCTTCCAGGGCCCGACACGTGAAAAACCCTCCAGGTTCGGTACTTTCTGGGTGCTCGGAATTCTTTCTGGTGGTCCAGGCTAAGGTGGGCCGGACCATCCTAACCCGAATCGTTTTTGGACGGCCCCGAGGCCACGTAAAATCCCCGAGGGGCCGAAAACCAGGACATAATACCTCCGTCTCGATGCTTTTTTTGTTGAGACGCCAGATGCCTGGTGTAGGCTCTAGAGGAACAAAAAAAACGGCGTAAACTTGAGTTCGGGCGCTCCAGGGGGATTTCTTGAATCTGCGCTGGACCCCCCTCCGTGGCGCGCGGAGCGCGCCAGGGGCGGCGCTGCAGGCGTCGCCAGGGGGGCCCAACATAGATCCAAGAAATCCGCGCGGAGCGACCAAAGTTTTTGGTAATGCCGTGTTTTCTTTCTCCGAGGTTCGAGACTGCTCAGATTGAGCACGCATTGGGCTGCTCGAGGACCGACCGTCCTGGTATTCTCATAGGCCTACCACAAAATTGTCTTAGAACCCAGCATTCCTCTAATCACAAACATAGATGTGGTTCTTAGATCATAAACCCGATGCGTTAAAACGATACCGCCTCAACCAATACTACTCAAAGAACATCTCGTGCCGACTACGAAAAGGTTCTCAGAGCATCCCTTGGTGGGCCAAGCCATGACGCTCCGCCACTGCTCAACCAAATAGATAGGCCAACCAAAAAGGCGACTGGGTGTTGAAAACTTGTGCACCTTCGCATGACGAAGAAATTGTCGCGTAAGACGAAATCGACGCACTTGCACGCCACTCTGCGCACAAAGCCGGGCCAAAAGAATCCAACAGCCGGGGGGCCGCCGTAAAGACCGACGGAAGACGTGTCGGCCGAGTGTTCCTGTCATGTGGCAGCCGTGAACAGTTTCTTTCATCCTTCAGCGTCGCGCCAGGCACAGCGCAAGCAACAAAGGCCGGGGCCTCATAGGTGCCGAAGTCCCCCCTGCCGCGCGCGATGCTCGCGTAGAAAGACTGGACGTGCTTTGCCTCGCCGGCCGGGCAGCGGCGCGAAAGCGCAGCGGCGAGAGGCGCGCCGCCGGCGGGGCCCAAAGCGCGCCTCCACGCGAGGCGCGGAGATACGACCCTGCCAGGTGCGAGGTCCACCGGGAGGGGCGCGGGGGGCTTTGCTCGCCAGGCCCCAGGACCGTCGAAGAGCCCTCGCCAGGCCCTAGGATGAGGTCGGGCATGCCCTCCTACAGGCGGATGTTGGAGGAACCGTAGTTTGCGTGGTTGTATGTTTGTATTTCTGCATGAAAAAACCGGCATAGCACAACAACAAGCAAAGCATCGTCCCCATGCAGAGGGAGACGCCTGGCTTGACCCTAGGACCGTCGAAGAGCTGCCCGATGCAAGAAACTCATCTCAGGGAAAGAGCCTAGACCTCCAGTGGCCAATGCAGCAACGGAAGCACGACGTCGGAGATCTGGGCTCCCTGCCTTCTCCCTGCCGGGATGGGCGCGGGGGGTGAGGGGAGAAGGAGGGTTATCAGTGGATACCCAGGTGGGTATTATCTGGCCTAACCTAGCTCATTAGTGGGTTGCTGATGCCCCAAGTGGCACGGGGGGATAGCGATCCATGCGAAGTGGGCTTCGCCCACTTAGCGGAGTTGTCGAATTCCCTTGAGCCACTTGGGGCAGGTGTGACCCACTTATAAGCTAGGCTTGGCCAGGTATAACCCCCTTGGCGTCTACTGATAAGCCCCCTGTCCCCTTAGCAACCACCGCGCCCATCCGAGCAGACCACATAAAAATCACGACGGGAGGTTTTTAGCTATCTTTGACCTCTGGGGGCCCTTGGCGGGCCTCGGGGCTGTCGAAAAAGGACTCAGGATGAAACACTGGTCCTGAGGAAGGGGTCGAGACCTCTGGGGGTCGACGTTATGAAACAGTCATGGCTTGAGGTGTCTGGGTCTTTGGCATGTGACGTGCCCAGGATGTCACCTCATGAAGTGCCTCGTGGTGAAATACGTTGTGGGATAACTCTCGGGCACGGGACGCCTCGTGGTGGAATGCGGCGACCCCACATTCCCGGCTCTGGGGTCCGTCGACTGGACCGAAAGTTTTAGAACCACTTCTGGACCATACGACGCTCTCTGAAGCTGTACCCAATGCGGCCGCCATCTCGCGCCAGCCTTAGAGAGCAGGGAAACGACCCTCATGACGAGCAAGCACATCGAGAAGCAAAGCCGCTCAGGAAACGCACCCAGGGGAGACCCTCTGGGGGCCGGCGTTGTGAAACAGTCATGACGTCGGGGGTCTGGGGAGCTCGACCCTTCGGGGCGCGGCGCTCGAGCCCTCCGAGGCTGCGGCGCTCGAGCCCTCCAAGGCTGCGGCGCTCGAGCCTCCGAGGCGCGGCGCTCGAGCCCTCCAAGGCTGCGGTGCTCGAGCCCTCGATGCTCGGCGCTCGAGCCTCCGAGGCGCGGCGCTCGAGCCCTCCGAGGCTGCGGCGCTGGACCCTCCGAGGCTGCGGCGCTCGAGCCCTCGAGGCTCCGGGGCTCGGCGCTCGAGCCTCCGAGGCTGCTCCGAGGCGCGCGGCGCCTCCGAGGGAGCCTCGGGCCTGGAGGAGCGGAGGGCTCGAGCATGCGGCCCTGGACCTCTCGGGAGCGCCCCCGCGCCCCCGCGCCGTCTCCCCACCCCAACCGCCCCCAGGACCCTTCCAACAAATGTAACATATATACGTACATATATATATATATATATATTTGTATACAAGACTGTAGTGGCGCTTCGCGCCATGCACCTTGGTCGTTGAAGTTTGGTATGCAGGCGAACTTGCAGGAAGGTCAAGCCGACAAATTAGTGATAATTCCTTGTTGCCTTTTCAACCATCGCCGCTAACATGATGTTATTCGTTATCCTTCCTCCATGCTTCTTTTTTCTCGTTCTCGTCATACCCTGCGCATTTGCCCCAACCTCCTCAGCTCTTTTTGCGGAGGCTTCTCCTTGGAGAGCCTCCGGGGACCTCACAAAAGCTTCAAATTTTCGTAAGGCCCTCTGGAGGCCACCTGGGCGTGTTCTGGAGGTTCTGGGGGCTTCCTCGAGCCACCCTGCCTCCAACCGCGGTCTTCCTCAGCGACCGGGTCACGATTTGGAATGCTTCGGAGGGTGTCTTGGGGCCATCTTGGGCCGCCATGGGGCTCTCATAGGGCCATCTTTGACCCCTGTTGTGCCGTTTGGGGGCTCTCTTGGACTGCCTGGAAGCCCTTTCGGATGGTTGTGGGGCGATTTTGGAGCCTCCCAGGCGGCTTGGGACGCCCAGAAGACTGCCGTATTGGAGCGTCGGGAACCCGAAAAGGGGAGAACCCTAACATTCACGAAAACCCGCAGAAAATCAATGATGCTTGCCTGTTGGGGCCTTCTTGGGAGTGCTCTTAGAAGCTTTTTGAGGCCTTCGGGGCCGTCCTGGAGGCCTCTTGGGCCATCTTGAGGTCACGTCGGTCACTCTTGGAGCGCTCTTGTGCTGTCTTGGGGGTCTCTGGGACTTCTCCGATGGCCCCCCTGATCGCCCTGGATGTGCTGGGAAGGCTTGGCAAAACACCCTGCGAAGCCCGGGGGCCGCTTCGAGGCCCGTCCGGAGGGTCCCAAAGCCCCAGATCTCGGGAGTTCGATTTTTTTGGCGGGGTCCCCCCGCCGGGGCTTATAAACATATGGGAAGAGGAATCTATATATATATATATACACACACAAAGAAAAAACAACGGGTGATTTCACTATCTTCGGCCTCCAGGGGCCCTCGCCGGGCCTCGGGACCGACAAACAACGACTCGGGATGAAGAACTGGTCCTTGGAAAGGGGTCCAGGCTCCTGGAGCTCACGTCACGGCAAAAATCACGACGTCGGGGGTCTGGGCAGGTAGGAGGGCGAAGAACATCAGGGATAACGGGGCCTTCTTTGCACATGTCTCAGGCGGAGTCCATCGTGTTATTCGTGTTAGGAATTGTAATATGTTTAAGATCCCCCCGCGATGAGGAGGATGCGGCCTTTTGTTGAGCACCCCAGCTGCGCTGCGTGCCAGCAGCACAATACCCGTCGGTCGGAAGCAGCGGTCGAAACATGAAGTAGGAGAAGCGCCGAAAGTAGATTGGGCTTCCGCCCGCCCCTCGAGGAGGAGGGAGGACGGAGCACCACTCGACTTTCAAGCGCCAGCCCGAGAAATCCTCACGACGCTCCGAAAGTGTGTTGGGCCAGATCACCCAGCGATGCGCGGTAATATTCTCGCCCTCGCGCTGCCGCCCTCCGACCCAAGCGACGATGCACGAAGCGCGGCTATCTTCGCGCCACGGGGGTGACCCAGCCTAGATGCTCATGCCTTGGTAGAAACCATTTGGGACCTCTTCCATAACATGGCGCAGACGGGTCTACCCTTTCTCCGGCCTTCTACTGCGCCGGACGCAACGGCCGCGTTATCTACGTACGTCTCCACACCGAACGCGTGCATACAGACATACATGCATGCATGCATACAGGTCCGGTACAAACATACACTCAGACATGTATACGTAACGGTATGTACATATAGCTATGCATTCGCAGGTTTACATATACGCTTTCAAAAAATGTGCCCACCAACTCAGGAGGCCCGTTGTGATCATAGACGCTTGTGGCTAAAGAGTCAGACCGGTCTTTGGCGTAGGCCCCAGACGGTGACCTTCTAGATGCAGGTAGACTTTGCCCTCCGAATCGTGCCGTCTCTCGTCTTTGAGGCTCCCCGCTCCCAGTCCCCCCCCCCGCCGCCGCACGCGCGTTGGCGCCCCGAGGGACGCGCGCGCGGGCTCCCCCCGGCACCCGCGGCGGAGGTTGCCCCGCCCCCTCGCCGCCCCCGTCGCCACAACTCACGAGCCGCGAACACATGCGCATCCGCGATCTCGCGTTCTGGATCGACGGGGCGCGATCCCGCGGAAGCGCGCGGCCCCACGGATGCGTTCCGCGCGGCGCGCGCACGCGAAAGAGCGCCCCGTCTCCGCGCAGCCGCGGCCCAGGAGCCCGGCCCGCGAGGCCGCGGATACGGATGTGTTTTCGCCCACGCCACTCCCACCAAGAGGAGGCGCGGAGGCGACGCGTGAGAGCAGCCAGGAGTACGAGATCAAAGGGTCTCCGCACTTCTTGAGTTGATTCCCATGTAGATTCTGCATCTATGTTCTAGCTTTTGCACTGCTCACGCCATTCTGCACAGCACCTTTGTTGTACCCATGCATTGCAGGTAAAATATGCTTTCGCCCACGACCAGCGCCGTCGGGCGTGGGCTGGCTGGCGCGCGAGGGAGCGCGAGGGCTCCCTCAGCACCTCCGGCGTCGCCCCGCCCTCGCGTGTGAACCCCTCCCGCCCAGCTCGTCCGGAGCCCCACCTCGGGTCGCGCTCGCGCCCTCGCGCTCCCTCTCGCCCGGCCACCCCGCCGTCGCCCCGCCTCAGACAAGAGAAGACGCTATAGGCTATAGGCGAAAGGGACAGAGGAAGAAAGGGGAGCACAAACAACCCAGACCCCCGACGTCGTGACCTTTTCACAACGTCGACACCAGAGGTCTGGACCCCCTCCTGGGGACCAGTTTGTCATCCTGAATCGTTTTCGACGCTCCGAGGGCCCGGCGAGGGCCCCTGGAGGCCGAAAATAAGGAAAAAGCGCCCGTCGTGTCTTTTCACAACGCGAGGGGGTCTGGGAATGTCGATGACACGCCGCCGAGGGGCAGAAACCACCATCGCCTGCTGTTGTGAAGGAAAAGCACCAAGCCCTCGGGCGCACACGAGAGGAAGCAACACGCTCACGGCCCCCAGCAGCTGCGTGCCATTGATATTCTACAGTTGGGGCGTTGACCTAAGGAACGCTACATGAGGAACGAGGCCCCTTTTCTCCACGAGTCCAACTTCAGTTCTCCGTCGGAAACCGAAGGATAACCTGAGGCAAGCTGTGAAACAGTTGAAAAACACGGAGCCCCTCCCCTACGACAAGGGTTCCTCCTTCAGCGCCCCGACTGTATTCTAACTCCCTCCGGG